GGCCGGATCTCAGCTCACTGCAAGCTCCGCCTCCCAGGTCCACGCCATTCTCCTGCCTCAGCCTCCCGAGTAGCTCGGACTACAGGCGCCCGCCACTTCACCCGGCTAATTTTTTTTGTATTTTTTAGTAGAGATGGGGTTTCACTGTGTTAGCCAGGATGGTCTCCATCTCCTGACCTCGTGATCCACCCGTCTCGGCCTCCCAAAGTTCTGGGATTACAGGCTTCAGCCACCGTGCCTGGCCCCCCACTTTTTTTTTTTGGACGAACATATACTTAACTTTTATTATTGGTAGATAATTTCTCTTTAACTTAATTTTATTTTTTCCAATTTTAAAAATTGTAAAATACACATACCATAAAATTTGCCACTTTAATCATTTTTAAGTTTTAAGCACATTCACCGTGCTGAGCAATCATCACCGTCACCATCCCCAGATCTCGGTCTTCCCAAACAGCTCTGTCCCGCCTGGCACCGTGCATTCTACCTGCCATCTCGATCGTACACAAGTGTGAGGCATTTAAGACGGAACACTCTCTGCGTACACACTGGGTACTGACTTGCAGAACGCAAGGCCCTATCTGGCAGGATGGGGAGGTGACTCCTCGCTGGGTACCCTTCCCCTCTTTCCCACCGCAGCCACTCACCATGGGCTCTGGGGCAGGCTCTAGATTGGCCAGGCCCCTAGCTGGTGCAGGCCCTTCCCTGCCAGTCCCATCTGGAGGCTGTGGTTCTTCTGCATCTGGGGATGAGAGAATGAGGAGGCCATGATTCCGTCCAGAACATCCCTGGGGTCTCACTGAAGACACCCAGAGAGGAAGAGAGTTTCGTGTTGCACACACGGCACACTCACGAAGAAACGGGCAAATCATAAAAAACCACAAACCAACCCCAGGCTCGCTGCGTGCTGACCAGGTCATTCTTTTAACAGGACATTTAAGAGACCCCCAGAAAGAGGGTCAAAGGTCAGGAGACTGGGGCTGGTGCTTGTGCCGCCTACCTGGGCTCGGCACAAACAAGTTGGAAGGAATCGGGAGTGGCGCGAGTGGAGCGACAAAGTCCGCAGGAGCAAGAGCCGGCTCGTTCCGCTGGGTCCCACTTGGGTTCAGGACGTCCACGTAGCGAGCTCTGCTTCCGGCTGCAAAGGGGAGGGAAGCAAATTGAGGCGAATGCGCCAGGCGGCCTCCAGTGCTCACTGTGTCAGAGCAAAAGCACGCAGGGACATGCTGGAAGCCATGTCGTGGCCCAACCCTGACGAGGACACCTTTCTACACGCAGATGTGTTTTGGCTTTTGGCCTGGGGGGGGTTCCCTATCTCACCCCGCTGTGGCACAGGCCCTCTGCTTCTGCACAGACATGGCCGTGCCCACAGCTTGTCAACGCAGACAGCTGTGGAACCACGTAACGCTCTGGAGAGCTGCGCTCGTCCCCAAGGCTTCCTCCTCGTGACACCAGCGTTACCTTCCACGGTGCGACACCCATCACCTCCTCCCCACACACAACAGCTACACGCTGGCCTCTCTCGGAGAGTTAGTCGTTCAAGCAAGCTCCCACTCCAAGGCCACCCTTACCTGCTCTTCTAGAGAACACGTTCACCGGGGCTCCAGCAGGCCCTGCGAGACCCGGCGGCGCAGCCTGCACAGCCCTGGGCAGCGAGGTTGGAGGTGGGGGCGGGGCTTTCTTCTGCAGAGGGAAACGCAGCTTCAGACACGCACTGCACTGCGTGCACCAGAAACCCACTGGGACGGCAGTCAGGACGCTCCACAAGGAGCAGCAGCCGCCCAAATAGCACAGGGCCGCACGAAGCTGTTCCCTCCACTCACACCTCACACTCAACGGGAACTAAAATGACAATTTACCTCCTCTTCTGGCTCATTCAAATTCACCCACTGGTTTTTCTTTTCATCCCAAACAATCTGCCAAGATTTTAAAAAGAAAAAAGGTCAGTAGACTGAAGCTAAACATAGTTAGAATCTGATTAATGATGACACTTCAAAACTTCAGGAAACACCTACTCAGGTCTGCTCTGAAAGTGACAGAAAAATCATTACAGTTCCTCGGGCGTCCCGTGCCATATTCGACAGCACTCACCGATTTGTTCTTGTCATCTGGCAAATAAGCTTCTGTCTTTTTCTTCCCAGGTAGCCAACGAGAGAACCAGGATTCACCCTAAATATAAAAACCACAAGAAAAACTTTGAAAACGCTATGTTCCATGAAATCAGCCAAAGGCAAAAAGACAAATTCTACAGGACACACTTCTGTGAGGCCCCAGAGTCGCCAGATCCACAGACACACCAGGAGAATGGAGGTGGGAGGGAACCGGGAGTTGTTGCTCCGTTTCAAGAGGACAGAGTTTCTGTTTGGGAAGTTGAGAATGGGAAAGTGAGAAAGTTCTGGAAATAGATGGTGGTGATGGTAACACAACAGTGTGGATGTACTCAGTGCCACAGAACTGTGTACTCAGAAAATGGTTAAAATGGTGCATTTTGTTATGTGTATCTTACTGTAAATTTAAACAGGTCAGAACAGTAACGTGCCTTCATGAGCTTTTTACGTCTGAACACTGAGAAAGCTTCCGACATCCTGCCCTTTGAGAAGTGGAAGGCAGGCTGTCCAAGTCAGCGTGTGTCAGAGGCAGACACGGCCCCCCTGTGTTTCCCATGCGTGGAGAATTTGGTTATTAGGAAAATTTACTTTATTCTTCACATGATGCACTTCATTTTTGTTTGTTTGTTTGTTGAGACAGAGTCTTGCTCTGTTGCCCAGGCTGGAGTGCAATGGCGTGATCTTGGTGCACTGCAACCTCTGCCTCCTGGGTTCAAGCAGTTCTATGCCTCAGTCTCCTGGGTAGCTGGGATTACAGGCGCCCACCACTATGCACAGCTAATTTTTGTATTTTTAGTAGAGATTGGGTTTCACCATCTTGGCCAGGCTGATCTTGAACTCCTGACCTCATGATCCGCTTGCCTCGGCCTTCCAGAGTGCTGGTGTGACAGGCGTGAGCTGCCGCGCCCAGCCTCCCAGAGTGCCGGGGTAAAAGATACCATCACAAGTAAAAAGACAATCTACAGATTGGGAGACGATATCACAATCAATACACCTAAGAGGACTTATATCCACAATACAGAAAGGATTCCTGCGAGTCAGTAAGAGATCACCATTAAAAATGGAGAGTAAAGTCAGGTGTGGTGGCTGCAACTGCAGTCCCAGCTATGAGACGGGAGGATCACTTGGGCCCAGAAGCTTGAGACCAGCCTGGGCAACATAGTGAGACCCCATCTTTATGGGAAAAAAACAACAACAAACAAAAAAATGGATAGAGACTTGAACAAGCACCGCCCCAAAAGGGGAATGAGATGGTAACAGGGACACGAGAAGGTGCCCAGCATCACACCTCGCTGGGGAGATGCAGAGTATAAGCCACAATGAGATGTCATCAGCCCCAGCACAACAGCTAAGTTAAAGAACTGGCACTGCCCAGTATTGGTGAAGACGAGGGATATCTGGGGCCCTTGTCCTCTGCTGCAGGACGTGTGACAAATGTCCAACCAACCAACCAACCATTTCAGACAACTGCTCAGCAGCGTCTCCTAAAGCTGAACACGCGCTCGTCCTGCAACCTAAACCCTCCGCTCCTCTGCGCGCACCTAAGAAAAACAAGCACATTCACCAAGAGACTGGCAAGGAGGCTCCCGGGGCCGGAATGATCCCAGCCCCACACTGAAAGCAGTCCCAAAGTCCACGACTGGGAGAGTCCGTGAGCCGGCGGCAGGCACACACCACAACGACAAAGGAGCAGCTGCCGTCTGGTCCCTTGTGGGTGGGTCTGACAGGTAATGGCCAGAGGGGACCTCTGGGGGCCGGACTGTGTCCCCATGCTGACCTGGGTGGGCTATTATCCTATTATCCGAAGGCACAAATACACAGACACTCATCATGCCCTGTGCACTGCAGACACTCGGCTGTTTGTATCAGGAGGCTGTTTGCATGTGTGGTGAATTAAGAGGCCGGTGCTCTGGGAAGCGTGCGTCCTGCCCAGACCCTGCTGGCCGCTGGGCGCACTGGGGGCAGCTGTACTACCTTCTTAGGTTCCTTCGTCTCTTTCTTGGCTGCTTGTCCGGGTCTCTTCGTTTCGGGAGCGGATGGGAGAGACAGAGGTGGCTGCGTGGGGCCCGAGTCGGCACGATCCCACCCTGGGGGGGCCTCTGAGTCTGGCGCCGTCCTCGAGGGGGCCTGTCACAAGGCAATGCAGAACAGGCTATCCTGGGGCTCCTCACACAGGAACCGAAAGACAGCGGGGACGCGCTTCCCCAGGTGTGTTCCTTAAATATGTCACTGAGAGGCCACATGACTCTGGTGCCCAGAGGGAGTCAGGGAGGGGGCTGGGGAGAGCAGCCCCCTGACTGGGCCTCCCGGAGCCTCTGCCTGGCCTGACTAGAGAAAGCCAGCCGCACTTAATAAGCAGCTCCGTCTGGGAGCACTCAGCACTCGAAATGCAAATGCGGACCCTCGACGGAGATTCCAGGCTGGAAGAAATGGAGCGTGAGCACATACCGAGGGAAGACTGGCCAGAGTGGGGCGATGGGCATTCGCAAAGATACAATGATTTTTAAAAATATTTATTCCTGGGTCAAGTCCCAGTTTTTAATAGCTCAACCCTCACTTTTACTTTTCCAGGGACACAATATTTTAAAGGGTAAAACACCGAATGCAAGTTCAAACTATAGCAATCGCCTACTAATGGGATGCCCGGGAAGGGCTGGGTATAAGTAAAGAAGGTTCCAGAATGCGGTCTGTATAAAAGCAACCATCTTATACCACACATGTCTAATCAGATAAATCTCTCTTTCAGGAAAACCAGTGAAAATGTTAGAAATTCTATCGTATTCCAGGATATCTTGTAAGATAAAAAAATTAGAAAAGAAATTCTACTGTAGAAAAAGAGATGGTCCGGCCGGGCCCGGTGACTCACACCTGTAATCCCAACACTTTGGGAGGCGGAGGCGGGTGGATCACGAGGTCAGGCCTGGCCAGGCTTGGCAGCTCACACCTGTAATCCCAACACTTTGGGAGGCTGAGGCGGGTGGATCACGAGGTCAGACCCGGCCGGGCCCGGTGGCTCACACCTGTAATCCCAACACTTCGGGAGGCGGAGGCGGGTGGATCACGAGGTCAGGAGTTCAAGATCAGCCTGGCCGAGACGGTGAAACCCCATCTCTACTAAAAATACACACACAAAAAAATGAGCTGGGTGTGGTGGTGGGCGCCTGCAATCCCAGCTACTCGGGAGGCTGAGGCAGAGAATTGCTTAAACCTGGGAGGTAGAGGATGCAGTGAGCCAAGATCGCACCACTGCACTCCAGCCCGGGCAACAGAGTGAAACTCCATCTCAAGAAAAAAAAAAAAAGAAAAAGAAAAAGAGATGTCCAGGTGCCATGGCTCATACCTATAATCCCAGCACTTTGGGATGCTGAGGCGGGCAGATCACTTGAAGTCAGGAGTTCGAGACTAGCCTGGCTAACATGGCAAAACCCCGTCTCTACCAAAAAATACAAAAATTTAGCCAGGCATGGTGGCACACGCCTGTAGTCCCAGCTACCTGGGAGGCTGAGGCAGGAGAATCGCTTGAACCTGGGAGGCAGAGGTTGCGGTGGACAAGATGGCGCCACTGCACTTCAGCCTGGGTGACAGAATGAAACTATGTCTTGGGGAAAAAAAAAAAAAAGGTCAGGCTTGATGGCTCACACCCGTAATCCCAGCACTTTGGGAGGCCGAGGTGGGCAGATCACTTGAGCTCAGGAGTTCAAGACCAGCCTGGCCAACATCATGAAACCCCATCTCTACTAAAAGTGCAAAAATTAGCTGGGCGTGGTGGCACATGCCTGTAATCCCAGCTACTTGGGAGGCTGAGGCAGAGAACTGCTTGAACCTGGGAGGTGGAGGTTGCGGTGAGCCGAGATCGCGCCACTGCATTCCAGCCTGGACAACAGAGCGGGATGCCGTCTCAAAAATACAAAAAGAAAAAGAGATGCAGAAATCAGAGAAGGTGCCCATTTTGGAAGAATTAAAAATAACAAGGGGACTTCATGATATCTGGGTATTTCTTCTACTTAAAGTAACTGTTTTTATGCTACTGAATTCTCTTTCCCGTCTTTCCCTACCAGCATTTTCACCAACTCTTCATATTTTAAGGATGAAAGCTATTTAGAAGCACTTCCGCTTAAAGAAACAATTTTAGAAACAATTTCATAGTCCTCACTACCATCCTCCTACTTACAACTCAGCAAGGAGTCTGGGTGCCCACTCGATGAACTTTATGGAAAACAAATAGTTTAAGAAAATGTGACAAAGTACCAGAGTAGCAAATTTTCCACCAAAATTTTCTTCGCTTAGCTCGGAAAGGGAGTTTCCAACAGGCGCCTCCGGCGGCACGATCCCTGTCAACCAGAAAGAGAGCAACTGTGATCTCGGTCACGAGGAGGCGGGACGTGTGTGCAGCACACAGATCAACAGGCACACCGCCTTCCCACCCAGCTACCGCCACACCAGCATGGTCTGCAGAAACCAAGACTGAACATCGTCCCACATGTGTGCACACTCTTTTATTTTTAAAGCTAGGCCTGTGTTTTGCTTTGTCCATATATACACATATAGACATAGGCACAGACCAGGGACAAGATCCACCAAATCAACTTCCAGACAGGAGTTCATGACCTGCCCCTGTCTGTCTCACCAGGCGGTCAGGAGGGTCTGAAGACAGATCCCAGGAGACCCATGGCCACCGTGCCCTGCCCCAGATGGCCATTTAAGCTTCTTATAACAAAAAGCCAAGTCACAAAAGAAACTGGCATTAACACTACTATCGTAGTGAGACTCTGAACCCATCCAGTCTGTAACTTCCAGAATGTTTGGTCTACATTAAGACAAGTAACGTAAGTTGTTTCAAGCTCAAATAACTTCAATCTCTTCCACCAATCCCCACGACCACCACCCCCAATGCTGCTTCTGCTCTCAAGACAGCATCTCTGCAGCCCCACCTGGGTCTGGGCTCCTGGCTTCCTGGAGCAAGTGTCTCCTTTCCTGCAGAGGCGGCACACTAGGCGGGAGGCCAGGCCCCGGGCACAGCGCTGCAGGATCAGGCCTGGAGGGCTCCGGGAAGCCAAGTGCGGACCCTGGGGTCACACAGCCAGGACCCGGCTCCAGGGGCCCCGGGGGCAGGGGCACTGGGAACATTGGCACCCTGGCAGGACTGGCCAACGGGCCGTCAGGGAGCGTCTGCGGAGCTGCATGGCAACAGTGGAGAAGAGGCTGGGGTTACTGAGGATAGCCTGGGTCACTAGAAGGAGCTGATACTCAACATGTTTATGACAAGTGACTTTGTACAGCTCCATTTCTTTTACAAGGGAGGCCCAACAGAGCAAAGAGCCCTGAAATCACCACCGCACCGAACCATCAGTGGTTTGGAGAAAAGCAGAATATTCACTTCCTTTTCCAGGGGTGGGGGCAGGAGGAACACTGTGTCAGAGCACCACGTGGGCTCCTGGGCATGGCCCAGCCCAAACGCAAGCCCACAGTGACCGTCTGGCACAGAGTTCTGCTAGACTCGAGTCCCCTCCTCCATGGTCAGTGGTCAAACAGGCCACTCATTCATTCATTCATTCATTCTTCCGACTCGACATAAAACCTGGGAGGGCCGCTGCCTGCCAGCACCATGCTGGGCCCTAGATGCTTCAAGAACAAAAGAAATGCTGGGTGCTCACGGGGGTCAGGACAGGTGAACTGAGTAAGAAGAGGAAGCGCTAAGGACAGCAATCAACCAGGACGTGGTAACGGTGTCTGAGGACGAAGCAGAGTGGATGTCAGGCAGGGAGGGTGGGCAGCGAGGCAGTGGGCCCAAATCAGGAGTGTGGCTAGTCCATAGCATGGGAGTGGACACAGCACCAGGGCAGCAGGGCTTAGGGCTGACCCCAGAGGGCCTGTGGCCACTGTGAAGACCCTGGCTTGTCCTCAGGTGAGATGGAGACCCCGGAGGGTCTGGGGAAGAAGCAGGAGGCGAGCAGTAAGGAGCCACGCTAATCCAGGCATGCGGCCCTGCGTGCAGGCTGTGCTGGTGAGGTTCACTGACGAAGGAAGCCAAGGAGCATGTGAGAGGAGGGCATCTGGACTTGACTCCCTGTAGCTCTGGGCTGGCCCTTCCTCCGATGGGGCTGACTGGGAGAAGCAGGCTGCAGAGGAGCACAGCCGAGGGTGCTGCCCAGACACGGTGTGGCTGAGGCTCCCGAAGAAGCAAGCAGGGAGGCTGAGCAGGCAGCGGACACTCAGGGCAGTGTCGCCAGCACATGGGTATTTATGGACATGGAAAGCCATGAGCCTCCATCGCAGCAGGGCAGGAAGCATGAAGGGAAAAAGGGAGGAGACCGAGGAGACCCACAACCACCGTGGTGGTGCGAGACGCTGCCTCAAACAGTCCGCATCTGAAAGCAGTTCTCCAGGAGGCAAGGGCGCAGACCACAGCTCAGCCAGCAGGAAGCCGGGGCCTGTCCAAGGGCAGCAGCCGCGCACCTGGGCTCACCTGAGGGCAGCAGCCGCACGCTGGGGCTCGAGTGCTCAGGGCTCGGCGCAGGCACGGCCAGCAGCGGGTTGGCGATCCCCAGGGCCGCTGGCTGACTGAGTCCTGCCCCGTCCTGTTCCACCTCGGAGCTTGGCGTGCCGGGACACTGTTGCGGGAAGGCTCCGTCCTGATGCCATACTCCAGCCCCCTCCTGAGGGAGAACAAGGCCTGCCCTGTGGAAGCCACCTGTGGCCGCATGGCAGCGCCGCCCGCCCGCCACCACCATGCTTGCTGTGTCCCTACTTCAGGACAGGAGGCACTCAACGCCCTTTTTGGGGAATTGGGGAATTCTCATAGGCACACATCTACAGTTATACTGTCTTTAGATACATACTTTCAGTGTGGACATAACAGGGACAGAAGCCACCTTACCAGATGCCTCTGGGCCACCCCAAGCCAAGGCTGTACCTTGATCTGCTGCTCCACCTGCTGCAGGTGAACCAGCCACGTGGGTGCGGCCAAGGACTCCTCTTCCGGCTTTTCTTTCAGCTGGGGATCGAAGAGTCGTAACTGGGAAGCCATCTAGACACGGGCAAAAATCAGAGGCCCCTGTCACCACCAGGTGATGGCAAGTGAGCCGTCTGCAAAATGCCTGGGCAATGCAGCTTCACTGTTCACTGGGGATAAAGTTTAATTAGCTGCATACATGTTTCTAGTATGTGCTTAGGTGACATACACGGGATGCTGGGCGACTGTGGGAAGTTGCTGTAGACGACCTCTTGGCCCATGGGCACCAGGTTGGCAGCGCTGGGCACCCCCTGGAACACGCCTGGCCTGAGACTACCACCTGACCATGTGGACCTGACTCAGTAAGAGCTGGACTCCCAGGTAATGTCTGCACGCCTTCGTCGGGAATGTGGGGGATGCAAAGCAGGGCAGAAGGGGGCAGAACACAAGTTTGGCCATGTGTTCATAACCACTGAGGCGGTGGATGAGCACCTAAGGATTCATCAATGACTCTCTGAACTTTGAAATGGGTCTAAAAATGTCCCTAATACATTTTTTGGGTATCCCATGAGCACGTTCTCACAAATGGAACTACTGACGAGAAGTGAAGATCCTGGGGCAACACGGGCGCCGCCTACACCTATCCCGTGGCACCTCCCATACTTTCTGCCAGTCACACCGCCTCCGTTTTACAGGGGAAGAAACTGAGGCTTGCAACAGTGCAGCCAGGACTCAAACAAAGGCTGCTAGACTCAGGACACTTAAGCGATCAACCACCAGACGAAATTTCCTCAAAATAAGAACATCCTGACTGGGCACAGTGGCTGACACCTGGAATCCCAGCACTTTGGGAGGCCAAGGCAGATGCATGCATCACTTGAGGTCACGAGTTCGAGACCAGCCTGGCTAACATGGTGAAACCCCATCTCTACTAAAAATACAAAAAATCGGTCAAGCGTGGTGCCTGTAATCCCAGCTACTTGGGAGGCTGAGGCAGGAGCATCGCTTGAATCTGGGAGGCGGAGGCTGCAGTGAGCCGAGATCGCACCAAACTGCACTCCAGCCTGGGTGACAGAGTGAGACTCTATTTCAATAAAAAAAGAATATCCTGGGCTGGGCGCGGTGGCTCACGCCTGTAATCCCAGCACTTTGGGAGGCTGAGGCGGGTGGATCACGAGGTCAGGAGATCGAGACCACGGTGAAACCCTGTCTCTACTAAAAATACAAAAACTTAGCCGGGCGAGGTGGTGGGCACCTGTAGTCCCAGCTACTCGGGAGGCTGAGGCAGGAGAATGAATGGCATGAACCCGGGAGGCGGAGCTTGCAGTGAGCCGAGATCACACCACTGCACTCCAGCCTGGGCCACAAAGCGAGACTCCGTCTCAAAAAAACAAAAACAAAAACAGTATCCTACAGACAGTTTCTTCTGATTATGAAACTCGCACCAAGGTTCTGTGCTAGCACATGGTGCCTGAGAGTCCCCAGACTAAGACGCAAAACACGAAGCCATTCAGAGATCTTCATCTGCCCAAGAGGCAGGTTCTGAGCGCCTACCACAACGCGCATCTGAACCATCGCCACCCCCACGCCCGGGGGCTCTGGCAAGCCCTCCTTCCCTGCAGTCAGCACAGCATCCTGACGACCGGCGCCGGGGGCAGCACCTGCACAAGCTGGCTGATCAGCACTGGGGAGTACAGGTGCGGCTGCGTCAGGATGCTCTTCGCGATGGCCTCACAGTAGTGGAAGGCTTGCGTGGCCAGCCCCATTTCCGCCAGGCGGCAGGAGTAGATGAACTTAAACACCTGAAACGACAGAAACCTTGCTGCCCCGCGGCTCCCCTGCTTCCGAGCATCGCGGATGGACAAAGCCTCGCGATGCCCCGGGGCTCCCCTGAGTCCGAGCATCACCGAAGGACAAAGCCTTGCGCTGCCCGGGGGCTCCCCTGCGTCCGAGTATCGCGGATGGACAAAGCCTTGCGCTGCCCAGGGGCTCCCCTGCGTCCGAGTATCGCGGATGGACAAAGTCTCGCGCTGCCCCGGGGCTCCCCTGCATCCGAGTATCGCGGATGGACAAAGCCTCGCGCTGCCCCGGGGCTCCCCTGCGTCCGAGTATCGTGGTTGGACAAAGCCTCGTGCTGCCCCGCGGCTCCCCTGTGTCCGAGCATCACCGACGGACAAAGCCTCGCGCTGCCCCGGGGCTCCCCTGCGTCCGAGTATCGCGGATGGATAAAGCCTAGCGCTGCCCGGGGGCTCCCCCGCGTTCGAGCGTCACCCTGGAAGCTGTGGACTCTTCTGGACGCTTCACTCATCATGTCTCCCACCCACCACGCCCGCCGACCACAGTCCTAGTCCCTGTTCCCTGAAGGATTTCAAGAGCAAAGTAAGTGACTAAGCTGGGAAGAAACCCACTCTGCTTTCCCCCCCAACCCCTTTCATGGCGCCACTCGGCTCTCACAGCCACAACCTGTCTCTTATACACATCTAGATGTGTATAAGAGACAGCAGTTATACTGTCTTTAGATACATACTTTCAGTGTGGACATAACAGGGACAGAAGCCACCTTACCAGATGCCTCTGGGCCACCCCAAGCCAAGG